CAATGTCCAATTTAGTACCATTTAGTACTTCTCGCAAAATTTTAGTACCCATTTCCGATACCACCGTCATATGTCCAGGCTGCGCATGCGAAAAGCGACGCTAATACCAAATTTTGGGTTTCAAGAACTATCTGTTTACCCAATAACGAATTGTACCAAATATAGCACTATTTAGTACTTTTCGTACACTTGTAAGAAAAAAAGTGAAATTCTAATAGTTGACTTTCGACCACATATCCCTTATAAGCATCAAAATTTTATTTCCACTGTGCCTCGCAAAAAGGTTTCCCCCAGGCGTGCGATGAGGGATCCCCACCTAAACAGCATTGATATGCGACTGTTGATATTGATTTTATGTCTGGGAAATTATTAAAAAATAATCATGGAAACATTGTAACCGTTCGTTTTCACATACAAACATACACACATATATCAACAAACACACACACACACACATGCACACAAATCTTCACTCGCTACACATAAACAATTTTTAATATGTTTTCCAATTCGTAAATGTTGCGAGGAAACGGAAATCAAGTGGAAATAAAAATTCTGCAGCAAGGATGGATGGGCGACAACATTACAAAACACCAACAGCAACAACAATTACAACAGTGTTGCTGTACGCCGTCTTCTTCTTCATCTCCATCTTCCATTTCCTGTCTAAATTCTTAACAGCATTTTTGCCATTTTCCCAAGGCGAAGACGACGATGCTGCTGACGCAGAAGATTTCGATGAGTCAAAAGAGTTAAAAAAAATATTGCCCTAAGCCATATGTGGAAATGTGAGTGTGTGTGTGTGTTTGGGTGTGTGTGCGCGTGTGTACATACGTGACAAATAACTAATGTGATTTATTGCATTCCTTTCACTTAAGTTTTAGTAACGCTTTCCTGACCTCCACCCACTTCACTTCAAACAAATTGCCTTCTCTTTGGCTCTGCTATGCAGTCAGTATTTACACTCTCAGCGGCAGTCTTTCAAAGGCACACCGGGCGGCACCCAGTGACTCCTAGGGTGTCGAACACACACATACACATGCACCCTGTTAGCTTCCATAGTCACTCACTTTTCAAGACATTGACTGGCAAATATTTCCTTAAACATCCGCAAACACATTGCGAGGAGTGAACATTGAATTTTATTACTTGCTTCCCAAGATATGGGGGATTTTGAGGAGAAATTGCTGAGGACGACTCCATTGTGGATCTTCGTTCTCAATATCAACATATTGAATCTCGCATAGATCCGGATTAAGTCTTTATAGACCAGCTGAAGGTCGTCTTTATAGACGAGCTGAAGGTCGTCTTTATAGACGAGCTGGAGGTCGTCCCTATAGACGAGCAGCTGGAGGTCGTCCCTATAGACGAGCAGCTGGAGGTCGTCTCTATAGACGAGCAGCTGGAGGTCGTCTCTATAGACGAGCAGCTGGAGGTCGTCTCTATAGACGAGCAGCTGGAGGTCGTCTCTATAGACGAGCAGCTGGAGGTCGTCTCTATAGACGAGCAGCTGGAGGTCGTCTCTATAGACGAGCAGCTGGAGGTCGTCTCTATAGACGAGCAGCTGGAGGTCGTCTCTATAGACGAGCTGGAGGTAGTCTTTATAGACGAGCTGGAGTGGAGGTCGTCTTTATAGACGAGCTGGAGTGGAGGTCGTCTTTATAGACGTGCTGGAGTGGAGGTCGTCTTTATAGACGAGGAGTGGAGGTCGTCTTTATAGACGAGCAGGTGGAGGTCGTCTTTATAGACGAGCAGGTGGAGGTCGTCTTTATAGACGAGCAGCTGGAGGTCGTCTTTATAGACGAGCAGCTGGAGGTCGTCTTTATAGACGAGCTGGAGTGGAGGTCGTCTCTATAGACGAGCTGGAGTGGAGGTCGTCTCTATAGACGAGCTGGAGTGGAGGTCGTCTCTATAGACGAGCTGGAGTGGAGGTCGTCTCTATAGACGAGCTGGAGTGGAGGTCGTCTCTATAGACGAGCTGGAGTGGAGGTCGTCTCTATAGACGAGCTGGAGTGGAGGTCGTTCATATAGACGAGCTGGAGGTCGTCTTTATAGACGAGCAGCTGGAGGTCGTCTTTATAGACGAGCTGGAGTGGAGGTCGTCTTTATAGACGAGCTGGAGTGGAGGTCGTCTTTATAGACGAGCTGGAGTGGAGGTCGTCTTTATAGACGAGCAGTTGGAGGTCGTCTTTATAGACGAGCTGCTGGCCCAGCTGTCTCCATAGACGAGCTGCTGGTCCAGCTGTCTCCATAGACGAACTGCAGGTCCAGCTGTCTCCATAGACGAACTGCAGGTCCAGCTGTCTCCATAGACGAGCTGCTGGCCCAGCTGTCTCCATAGAGGAGCTGCTGGTCCAGCTGTCCTCCATAGACGAGCTGCTGGTCCAGCTGTCCTCCATAGACGAGCTGCTGGTCCAGCTGTCCTCCATTGACGAGCTGCTGGTCCAGCTGTCCTCCATAGACGAGCTGCTGGTCCAGCTGTCCTCCATAGACGAGCTGCTGGTCCAGCTGTCCTCCATAGACGAGCTGCTGGTCCAGCTGTCCTCCATAGACGAGCTGCTGGCCCAGCTGTCTCCATAGACGAGCTGCTGGGCCAGCTGTCTCCATAGACGAGCTGCTGGGCCAGCTGTCTCCATAGACGAGCTGCTGGGCCAGCTGTCTCCATAGACGAGCTGCTGGGCCAGCTGTCTCCATAGACGAGCTGCTGGGCCAGCTGTCTCCATAGACGAGCTGCTGGGCCAGCTGTCTCCATAGACGAACTGTCACAAATGACGGGCTAAAGACGTCGACCTCTTCATAGTCCATTTAACTTCACACCGTTCATTAGAGTCTTGCTGTCCTATGTAGCTCTTTATTTGGTCTCCCAGATCCATGTAATCGTCTTATAGACCTACTGACCCATTCGACTCATCAGTTCCCATATAACCACTCCGAGTACTTTCTTTCCTTTCCTATACCGAAAATATTTTATTATAAAATCACCCATATTCTTTACTTTCCTACAACTCTAAAAACCCACTCCTTCCAATGAAAGGAGGCGACCTCCATTGTGTGTCAAACCTCTGCAAACACGCACATCCACACAATTTAGCTGAATCTCCGAGCAAACACTTAAGATCGATTACAAAATATTGTCGGCGGATAAAAGCAAAATGCCAATAACCCAGTATCGACAGTTTCCAGCAACACAGTAACTGATGAGGTGCTTCCACAATGGCATCATCATCGTCATCATCAGGTGTACTGGTGGAAATACCAAGAAATTCCTCAAATTATCAAGCCCCCCTTTGTTTCATGTGTATATAAAATCTCCCTCGTATTTGGCATTCTATGCAATTTTCTCAGGTTGTTCAAACATAACCACACTTTTTACGCACACACACACACACAGGAAGCCACACAGAAGAAGAAAACTGCATTTTCTTTGATTTTCATTCAAGATTAGTTGGAATCCTTCTTTAGCAAATGCATCGATTTAAGAGAAGTTGCATGACCATGGAATGGGTGAGGATTGAGGATTTGAGGGGAAGGAGTCTTTTAAAGGACCTATGAGGGGGAATATTATGCTACCAGTCATTAAGGGTATGAAATGACCAGAATGGTTGCTTTTAGGAGGAGCAAAAGGGTGGGGTCTAAACAGAAGAGGCATTTGTGGACCACATGAAGTTTCTCTATAAAACTCGATTTGAATTGAGAAGAAACGAATCTTGGTAAACGGTCGTTCAGCATGGCTCTATGTAGGCCCAGTTTTTCTGGGTGATTGGAAAACATTCCTTATAGGCGACCAAGAAAGCAAGCCAATACTACTTCAGAAAACTCTATGAGCCTTCAGCTCAGTTCAATATAGACATCTTGATATGGAGACATTCTTAAGAGATGATTAGAAGGCATTCTTTATGGGAGGCCGGTAAAAAGAATTTAAAGCTTGAGTCGGAAACTTCTTCAGAAAACTTCAGCTCAGCTCAATACAGACATCTAGGTCTTTTAACTCATTAACATAGAATCCTTGGTCCTATAGCTCTGGAAAGAAAGTTTACAGGTCAAATAAAAGAAAACTACAATAAACTTCCTTTCAACATTCAACTTAGCTGAATATAGGCATCTTGATATTTAAGGTATTCAATACTGATATTTAGCTGGGTACCCTTTAAGGCGGCCATGAAAAAGAATTTATATTCTTCAGAAAACTTCATGGTCATTCAACTCAACAGAATATAGACTACTTGGTCTTAAGGCTCATCTATCTAAATATTTTTTAAAGGCATATAGCGGGAGAATTTCCCCAAAAACTCCATGGCTCTTAAGCTCAAGTCCATCTACATAGGCATCATTTATAGTTCATTAGTCTTAGGACTTCTTTATAGGCAATTTAAAGAAAGATTAAGGACTCCTTCAGAAATTGTGATATTAAATATTTTCCTTAGTTCCATTGAAGCCAATATTACATGCTTTATTTAGAGACAGGAAACTTATGCTCCTTAAATCTAAAATTAAAAATAATTTAACTAAATTAATAATACGTGCATACATTAACGTAACAATATATTTAAGAATAAGTAAACAAATCTAAGATAAATATTTTCGACCTTATGCTACGTCTGCAAACTATTTAATTTGTAATACTTAACCTTGGTCAAATTACGGGCATTGCTCTCTATACAAATAAGGTCACCTTTATCTTCAAGAACCCTAAAATTATTTTTCCCAAAGTACCTAAAATATTCCCTTCCCTTAAAGGTGTAAAAGCAAGGTGTAGCTTCCTACACCTTCTCGTAATCTTTATTAGCTTTGGGATTTATGCAAAACGGTAGCATAGCAGCATCATTGCCTTATCTCGTCTAGCACACAAAAGGTGTCAACGGCCTTTGCGCCTTTAAGAAGATAAATTCAATATCAATAGATAATATGATAGAATTTCCATAAACAAATGTGAGATATGAAACCCGAGAATTTCCATATAAAAGCTCAGCATATCTGGCATAGAAACGTCATTCTCCAAGATGTCTGGAAAAGTTACAACATTTATCTTCTTGCTGATCACAGCAACTGTTTGGGCAACTCCAATCAAGTTAACAACAACCTTTCCCTACGAAGGACGTATTGTTGGTGGCTGGGAGACTGACATATCCTATTTCCCCTATCAAGTGTCAATACAACAACTCAACACCCATGTCTGTGGTGGCTCGGTGATTGGCGAAGATTTAATCCTTACTGCTGCCCATTGTCTTCTACGTTACGATAATCCCCAATACTATAGTGTACGAGCTGGATCCAGTTATAGTTTTCGTGATGGTGTTGTTATACCAGCCAAAGCCATAAAAATCCATCAAAACTATAAGAACAATGAACATGATATTGCAGTCATAAAATTGGCAATGCCTTTGGTATATTCTGAGAAAATAAAGGCCATACCCCTGTGGAATGAAACTCAGATTCTTGAAGATAACACCCAGCTATGGGTTTCCGGTTGGGGTTCACAGGCGAGTTGGTATCCCCAAGTATCACCCGTCTTAAGATACACTTCTGTAAATAGCAGCAATTTGGAAAAATGCCGCCAAGCTTATACATCTGTGAATAACATAACGGAGAATATGTTATGTGCCGGCGCCACGGAGGGAGGACGTGACAGTTGTCAGGGTGACTCGGGTGGACCATTGGTGGCACGCCACCAAAACACCACCACATTGGTTGGTGTTGTATCCTTTGGTGTCGGTTGTGGCAGAGCAGAATATCCCGGAGTCTATACACGTGTACAAAACTATCACAAATGGTTAAATCAAACAATAAATGAATTGAAATAAAGCGAAATCAAATAAAAATAAATAACTAAAAGATCTAAAATGTTTTCATTGATGATGTTGTTGTTGCTGTTGTTCAGGTTTCACTTTTGGGCCTCCAGTCACCTTTCCATATCCTGCACCTGCTCCTTTAGGTAATCCAAATGATTGACACTATCATTCATGGCATCATAATGATAGTTGACATGTTGCAATATCAACGACATCTTGTTGAGATTTTGGGCACTGTAGTCCGAAACAATGTCCACTTGCGTGAAATTTCTAATCGATTGGCCCAGAATCTAAAGAAAAGGTATTAAATTTAAAAATTGTACAAAAAGAGATTAGAAGTGGATGATTACCTCGTTAGATTTCGAACTACGCACCACCTGGCGTGCCACGGAACCCAAATTGTTGACATTGACGGCAACACGGGCACATAGGCGTTTTTTACTGAAAATATAAGAAAACAATTTAAATCAAAAATAGTGCTCCTGGAGACGAAAAGAAAGTGTTTTTAGGGACTTTCAAATATTACAGATGAATATTATAAAATTTCTGATCTGGTTTGTATGACGATTCGAAAGTGAAGTTGAAAAAACACAATTTCTTTGCTTTTGCATTTGGATTTATTTTTTTAAAATAAACAATGTTTATAAATCTGGCGTTTTTCTCTCGAATTCACTTTCGTATCGTCTTACAGAAATAGCCCCTTTACAACTGCACACTCTTAAAGTGAGGGTCTATCAAAATTGTCATTCCCTTTGCAACAAGTCGTTATATTCGTGGGAGACAGCATTAAATAAAAAAAATATTCAAAATCAATGTAAGATTCCATGCCCTACAGTAAATCCATACACAATAGTTAAAATCGGGGAGTTTCCCAGCATGTTTTCAACAAAGCAACGATTCAACAAGTCCTACCGAATAGCTGACTTTATTCCTCCTGCCTTATTACAGACACTTACCAATCATCAAAAAGGTGGCGGGCACTGCTACTGGAAGCGGAGGCCATCTGCAAGTAGAACATAAAGAAAAAATGTGAATATAGATGTCACTGGTCCATAACTAAACAAATAAATAATCGACCCTACACTATCCTCTGTTGTTTACCTTCTTGTTTCTGCAAAAACAATTTTGTTTAGGGAGAAATGACTCTGTTTCGCGTACTGCCCAAATCGCTGGTTTTCCTTGCAAAATATTCGAGGAATTCCACGGTTTTCACTTATTTCATCATTTAAGGACTATAGGCCATATATTTTAAACTATTTTTCCAATATATTTTATTTATTTTCCGAATTATATTGGATTTTACGTTGATAGGCTGACTTTTGTTACTTAGGGATTTGTAGATCAACTTTTCACTAATACTTGACAATAGGGCACACAAAACAAGAAGTTTGTCTATAAAGATGCTAATCACTGTGAGATGATAACACTTAGTTATAACTGCTTACGACGCTCTGAAACAATCTTGAAAAATTCAAATTTATGAAGCAACAATTGGCCATCTAGCCATTAAGTCTATGTAAATGAGTTAAAAGGCCCAATTGGGTTATATGGGCGAAGTTAATAGAATAATTTTACTATATGGATGAGCTGCATCACCACCAGAAAGTAGACGTAAATGCGACGCTACGTTAGTTCGCAGAGACGTATATAGATGAGTTTTATGAGGCAGGAAATCTCCATAGAAGAGCTGAGTGGTTCGAGAAGTTCATATTTATAAGCTGAATGAGCCTGAAAGCCCTGAAACGAACTTAATGATCCAGTGGTTCTATAAGGGCAAGCTAAACGGCACAGTTTGATGATATGAACCAAGTATGCGGTATAATGGATCTATAGAAATGAACTCTAGGGCCATTAAGTCTATGCAGATGAGCCGAAACGCATAGTCAGTGTATAGAAACAAGTTTGCAATGATATTGGAGCCTGTGATCTATCTAAACGAATGGATTGTCTGTAATACCTGTAATATCGAGTCAAGGCCCATAACGGTCGGCCAGTAAGCTCATCTTACAACTAAGTTTGCAGTCAAAAGACATGATTGTGATTCAAATCACAATAATGCAAAAACTACTAAGCTTATTGTTTTCAAAATTGTTGAGAAATGTAGTCTTCTTGGACGACCTTATGTGGACCATGTGTAAGGCCAATGAGTCAATATGAATTAGAAACTTACTAATAAAATATAAACACATTTATTTTCTTAATATATATTTTATTGTTTTTATTTTCGTCAATCTTTATAAAAATATACAAAATCTATTTAACAATAATCCTTATTTAATATAAAGCAAAAAAATCCTTAGTATCCTTAAAAAGCTAGTAATCTTACAAAATTGTCATTAACAAAAAACCATAATCTTTAACATAAACATTTCCACAACTCTTCCTACGACACAGAATCGATCATGGATTTTTGTTCCTCCTTCTCCCTGATGGCCGTCATTTCCTGTTCCACAGGTGCTTGATAACCTGTCTTGGGTAAATATTGTCGCTTCTTTGAAGCTGGACGTAAGACAATGTGAGCCACACAAGTACAGATGGCCAGAATTGAGAAATACATAAAGCTGCGGCGACCATGAAAACGTTTAAAGGCCAGCCCGCCAATTAGAGAACCAATACTAAAACCCAAACCATCATCCATGCCGGCAATAAGGCCCTGTATTGTGGCCGATGTACCGGGTGGGGCAATTTCCGAGGCATAGGCCACAATCACGGTGTAACACAAAGCATAAGTACATCCTTGGAAGAATAATTCCACACCAACCAGATACCAAGGATTTGGTATCCATGAAATCAAACCCAAACGTACGGCATAGAAAAAGAAACACATGCTCATGCAATGGACATAGCCCAGTTTCTTGATGATTTTGCCGCTGTAGAAAAAGAAGGGCACCTCACCGGCCAAACATTCGGCAGCCACCACACAACCTTCGATGAGTTTAATTTGATCCATGTAACCCGTTTCGGCTGCCACCTCCTCCACGTGCCAAAATAGGAAGAATATAATAAAGGAGTCAATTATGCCGGCAATTGTGGCGAATACCAAAAATGTTGCCACTGCTGGCTGTTTTATACATTGCCAGACATCTTTTGTTATTGATTCTGAAGACGATAGCTTTGGCAATTTCAATTTCGAAACACTCATCAAATCGAATGCACTGAAAATCAGCATAATAACCAAAGCTGGGGTAAAACTTTTCACAGTATCCACTGTCCAGAGATCCACCACAACACCGGATATCAGGGCTGTCAAACCAAAGCCAATTGTACCCCATACACGTTGATTTCCATACTTGTGTTCCGCTGCATCGCCTAGCATATCGAAACAAATGGCATCCGATATGGAATTGGTGACATTGAAACCAATTGTACCACAACACATAAGTATGACAAAAATCCAAAATGTGGCCGAAAGGTACAAAGAATTGGATTGCTCAGGGCTATATTCAAATTGGCAAGTTCCATTGAATTTAAGGCGGCTACTTTCGTTTGGTAGAGTTGTGGTAATGTTGCTGCCCAAACAAATGTAATATTGCTCATAGTTAGAGGTTAGATTGTATTTAGAGATTGCTTCCGTTCGTGTGTCCAGAAAATAGGCTGGAAATGTGAAGTTACTGTTGCTATTGTCTGTACATGTAGCTTTGCTTATTGAAATGTTGGTATTTGTTGGGTCCATCAACTGAAATGAGAAAAGCATAAAAGGGAGTGTTAGGACTAAATGGAAACAGAAGGAAATGAGGAGTAGGACTAGATCGACTGGGAGCCCTTTGTTGTCAAAACTGCTTATATCTTTTCTAGGTAATGATGTAGGGTACAACATCTTTGTTTTCCATGAGAAAGAAAGGTATTCAGTTAATGGAAATAATTTCTGTTGAAACAAAGAATATTTTTGGAAAAGCTCGTTGATGTCATAAGAAATAGCTTTGGAAGACTCTCATTAAACGTTCACTGGTTATCGGATATAGTTAACCCAGTGTATTTAAATCCTCAAATCCATTACATATGTCGAATAAATCTTTATAAGGAGGTTAACCCGGTTGATCTAACCAAGAATTGTAATATAAACATTCTATTGGTGCCACAATCTTAAATCACTAGGTAATTTTTTGGAATGCACATCGGTGGAATAATGGACATATCCTCGGTTTATTAAGCAATGTTTTTTTAAAGATGATTAGAATAAACAGATCTATTCCACAGTTTCATCATTTTTTCTTTGGAAAAATAGAATCAAGGTACTTTGTTTAAATTCTAATCAATCCCAATAAAGACCGATGTGATCACTTGTCCCTGAGGTGTGCAATCATATAAATCCATAAAAATTTATATCGCCACAATGAATATCTATTTTCTGCTTTTTTTTGTTTTGTTTGACTATAAAATGATTTGTTTAAAGATAATTTAGACATCAATATGACTCTAATTCTGCTAATTGTTGTCAACCACATTCCCCCCTTTATCTTACTCCCCCTTTTGGTTTTAAATCAACCATCCATCAGCTAGACGATAGATGTTCTTGATAAGATATACCCAAACCCAAAACAGTCGATCAATAAACAAACCCTGCCAATCTTGGTGGCTATAGTCAACAATTTTTGTGTTATTAAATTAAAAGCAAACGCTCTCACTGCCTCTCCCAGCCCCTGGGTGCTCTCTTTCTTTATCAAACTTACCTCTTCACGACAGTGGGTCATGTTTTTCATATCCATGGTAACATCTTGCAATGGATTCAATTGTAAATTCGTATTCTCGGGTATGAAATAGAAACAGGCATAGGACAATGTCATACCCACGATGAGAGAGATGAATATAAATTTCCGGAAATGCTGGAAAGAAAAGAGAATATAAGTTTAAGGGAAATTTTAGGGCAAGTATCTTAAAAATGTTCTTACAATTTTTCTATCTATAGGAGATTATTTAGTAGGTATTATTGAGTGCCAATAAAGACATAATTTTGGAATTGTTTAACAATACATATTTTTAAAATTTATTTGAAGAATTGAAAGCCAAATAAAAGCTTTATTCGACAGAGTAAAAAGATTATATTTAATGAACAAATATTAGGGGCCATAATAGTGGATTTTCATTGACTATTTTTAAAGCCAGATTTGACATATAATACTTACATTTTTATGGAATAGTTTTGAAGCCCCATCAGTAATATGATAATGAAATTTTTAACTGAGCATTTTAGAGGCCCATCTTTTCATTAATCGAGATTTTTTATTAAAATATCTTAGAAGTTTTTGAGGGACTTTTTTTGAAGCCTACTTTGACCAATAATCGAGTTCTGATTTGACAAATAATCGTATATATATTAAAGAACATTTTTGAAAGCTGATTTGAGAAATAGACGTGAGATATTTACAAATATTTTTGAGGGTCAGCAGAAATAGTTTAATCTTTATTACAGAGAGCAATTTTTTTGTCAAAACACAAATGGCAGCTTTGAAATATTTGCTGATCTCTGCAAATATTATGATTTCGTCCAGTTTTTAAGAAATAAATTTGATAGACTATCTGTACCATTAACGTGTATTTATATGGAATATTTTTAAAGTCTGATTCGGCCAATAATGGTGGGTTATTTAACGAGTATTTTTAAAGCCTGTAGTGGAATTTCCTAATTAACTTTTTGAGTTACCGAAAAAAGTCGGTAAAACTAAAGTGCTTATAATTTCGGTAATCTACGAAATTTGTCGGTAAGTTAGCGGTAGGACCTACCGATAGATACCAATGTTTTCAACTTTAACTTCGTTTTTATACCCTTAGCCATATGGCTACAGAGGGTATATATCATTTGATACGGCCAAAACGTGCCTAGTCGAAATAACGGTTTTAGACCCTAGGTCTCTTTGGACCAAATCCGTTTCAGAACATTTGAAGTCGATCTAGCGATGTCCGTCCGTCCGTCCGTCTGTCTGGCTGGCTGGTGCGCACGATAACTCTCGAAGGGAGTATCCGATTTGGTCCAAATTGGCTACATCGTAATATTTTTGTCAAACTTAGATCGAGTTCGGAGATGGGCAATATCGGTCCACTCCTTCTGGTACCTCCCCCACAAAAGGTCGAAATTTTCAAACAATATATTTTTTGCACAGAAAGAGAAAGGATAATCCGATTCTGCTCCAACTTTGCATATCCTAAAATTTGCGTCAGTACTAGATCAGGTGTGGAAATGGACAATATCGGTCCACTCCATCAAGTACCTCCCCCACAAATGGTCAAAATTTTGAATAATTACAATCTCATTAAATGTGATGTAAAAGGCCGATTGTATTCAAATTTCACACATCCTAATATTTGTATTAACCCATGGTCTGGTGTGAAGGGGGAATACATCGGTCCACTCCTTCTGGTACCTCCCCCATAAAATATTGAAATGTTGAGTACCCACGAAGCTCATAAAACGCCAAAGTAACATCCGATTCCATTTAGACTTGGCACATCTGTCGAAATATTTATATCATATTTTGGGTCCGATAGGAAATGGGCAATATTGGCCCATTCCTTCGGGATCTGCTCCATAGAGGGTCAAACGTTTGAGTAATCTTAACACTAGTCAAAATATATTTAGATAATCGAACATAGGCTGAGGGTATATATCTGGCGGCAATACCGACCGATACTTTTTAACTTGTTATATCTAAATTTTGGGTTTCAAAGTTACCGATATTTTTCGGTAACTCAAAAAATGAGTTAGGGAATACTACTGGTGTTGAAGTTTTAAAAGAATATTTCAGAGGTTTTTTTAAAGTATGTTTTCAGAAGGGCAATTTCTAAGAATAATATATGGATGCCTTAAGTTAATAATCGCAAATTTTTAAGACTATTTTTTCGAATATTTTAAGATATTTTTAAAAACTTATCAGTCCCATAATCATGAATTTTTTAAGGGTCTCTAAGTCCTTAAGTGGTATTTCCTTACCACCAATATTTAAACAAACCATTTGTAATTTTACATTTTGGGTTTTCTAAATTCTTAAAGAATATATCGTGTCCTCCAAATCGGTGGCACAAATGCGTTTCGGTCGCATTTTCAAACTTCTATGTGATTTCACAGACTTATCAACATCCAAACCATACATTATAATCCTATTAATGTTAAATTGCTGGTTTAACATGCTTAGTTTCTGTAAAAAATACAAAGCTCCTCAAATTTGCAGCAATTTGATCAATAAATAGGGTACACAAAGTACGAAAACTGCCCGTTAGCATTGCTATCTTCGCAAATTATTTCTCCTTAATTATTTTAAATAAGGAATGGAAAGAAGATTACATTAAAAGAAATTGTCAATACATATTCTATTGCTTGAAAAACTTCTGCAGAACAGACGAAGCTCCCCACAGATGTTCTATAGTTAAAATAATGCCTGAGAGGTTTTCTATGGATAGAAGATGGCTTGAAAAGTCAGACAGATATAGATAGGAACATGAATAGCACGCACACCTTTCATAGATCTTTTTTGGCCTTCCTGAGATTTTCTTGGTGAAAACAGTCTTTAATAGATATTTTATTTACAGAAGACCTTCTACAGGATATTATGTATCTTTATGTCCTTTTGCAGGTTATCTACAAATTGAAATCTATAAAAATGTTTCTAAATACCAAAGACCTTTTATGTTTATTTTATGTATAAAAGGCTTTTTAACGAACTTCTGTGGGTTGAATAGCTTTTATAGATCTTCTTTGGATATGGAACCCTTTCAAAGACTCAAAATATATTAAAAACTAAAAGATTTTAAAACGTGGATTTTTTTTAAAGAATATGCTTCTGAAACTTAATCTGGTCATTAATTTAAATCTAGACTGACGGGTTCATTTTTAAAGATACTTTATGGATAAAATAACATTTTATTGATAGAAGACTATCTACAGGACAGGCAGATTTTTCTACAGATGTTGTATGGGTATTTTTTGGATAAGATGGACCTTCCTAAGGCTTCTTTGAGAAAAGGTCTTTAACATATATTTTATTCGCAGGGAACCTTCCACAGGCCATTTACACATCTTCGAGACCTTTTGCACGTTGTCTACGAATTTTTGAAACCTGATTTGGTCATTAATCTAAATCTAAACTGACGGGTACATTTTTAAAGATCGTTTATGAATAATATAACATTTTATTGATAGATTCCACACATGTTGTATGGATCATTTTGGATAAGATAAACCTTTCTCAGATTGTCTTTGAGAAAACGGTCTTTAACAGATATTTTATTTCCAGGGAACCTTCTACATGCCTTTTACGTGTCTTTCTGGGATTAAAGACATTTTGATGGACTTCTGTGGTCGAGCTTTTGTAGATCTTCATTGGATAGAGTATCCTTTGAAAGACTTGAAAGTATAAACACGTAAAAGGTCTTAAAACGTGGATTTTTTTAAAAAAATATGTTTTGGAAAACTGATTTGTCCAATAATCGAAATCTAAAATGACGGATACCTTTTTAAAGATCTTTTATGGATAATATAACATTTTACCTTCTACAGGACAGACATATCTTTCTACAGATAAGTATGGGAACATAATAGTGGTAGGCGATACCCTATGGGCATCTAAAACCACAAATAGCATGCCTTTTATATATCTTCTTTTAAACGAAATATACCATTTCCAGATTTCCTTCGTGAAGACTATCTTTAACAAATGTTTTACTCAAAAGAGGCCTTTTACTGGTCTTCTACATTCCTTCATGCCCTTTTGTAGGCTATTTATAGAAAGAGCCCTCAGAAATGTTTGTAAAGCTAGAAGACATTTTATGTGCATTCCATGAATTATAGAGATTTACAGTTCCTCTGTGGGTAAAAGACCTTTAACGGTCTTCAGGGGATCAGGGCATTTTTGAAGGTTTTCAATATATACAAACCTAAATAAATATACCATTTCCAGATTTTCTTGGTGAAGACTATCTTTAACAAATGTTTTACTCAAAAGAGGCCTTTTACTGGTCTTCTACATTCCTTCATGCCCTTTTGTAGGCTATTTATAGAAAGAGCCCTCAGAAATGTTTGTAAAGCTAGAAGACATTTTATGTGCATTCCATGAATTATATGAATTTACAGTTCCTCTGTGGGTTAAATACCTTTACAGGTCTTCAGGGCATCAGGGCATTTTTGAAGGTCTTCAATATATACAAACCTAATTATCTTCTATAAGAAAAGTAATTTCAAGGGTCTTCTATGGTTAGATACCATTGTAAACGTCTTGTATAAAACAAGACCTTTTATATAGCATTAAGAGACCTTTTATATAGCATTAAAAGACTTAATAAAGCATAAGTTGTTATACAACTGGAGGACCTTTCATATGTCCTCCAGAGAATCCCTGCATTTAACTCACCGAAAAATAATCAGCAATAAAACCAAACATGGGCTTTGCTATGACATACATTACCGGCAGGATGCAGGTAATGTAGCCCATTACCTCTGGAGCTATGCCAATTTGTTTGCCAATAACCGATAACTGGGGAAGAATTGGGCCCATGGCTGGAAAGTAAAAAGACACATATCAATCGTTTTCCAAAAGCCTTTAAAAAAAACCCGCCACCACTTACCCGCCATAAAAAAGAAGAAATGGGCCTTGATGGGCAACAAACGTTTATTGATCACGGCCATTGCTTTGACGTTTCGTTGCTTTAGTTTTCAAAACTTAAATTTTATATCACAGCAATTTTAGAAAATAAAAAATATATTGAGGTTCAATCTCAAAATCACTTTGTTCGTTTCAGAATGTCTGGCGTTGGAAATCTCACGTTTTAAATTCTCATTGTTGTGAATTCATTTCGTTGGGAGGAAAAATATTGCAGTTTTACCTCCAGCCGTTGGAGGTTATTGCTGGCTAACAAGTAACTAACAACACCTGGGGCATGGGCATTTTTCCAAAGCAGTTGATAGACATGATGGGTTACCGATATCGTTTTTACTCCTCTATCCTCACTCTGCGGCTCTCTTGTGTAGCTCTTTTTTGTGTGTACGAAGAGCTACAAGTCTTGTAATCTGTTCTGGGAGAAAATAGCTGAAGATAAGCCTCTTCTAGCCAGTCGTTGTTAGTTTATGATCTTTACCAGGGGTTTTTGTTTCGTTGTTGATGTTGTTGTGGTCTGTCGATTTTATAGCGAGCGAGTGAGCAGCAGTCATCAAATGTTATTGTTTGTTTGCCATCGTTTCTGATCTAGCCATGGATCGCTCCGCTCTCAATTTTTACTTTATGGGGGTGTTAATATTGTGCTGAAATGATAAGAACCCAAACAGAAATGAGAAATTGTATATTAATGATTTGCAATAATAAAAATAATAATATAATAACAATAACCATATTGGTTGATAATAAAAGAGCAAACATGATGAAATGTTAATGACTCTTGGCTGGGCCAACCTATTTTCTGGTCTCTAGCTCTATTGCACTGGGCACAGTGTTGCGGGTTGAAAGTTTTTGAAAGAATATATATTTTTTGGATTAAAAAAAATATTTTTAAAAGTTGAAATTGATTTAAAAAAATTGATTGAAAAATGATTTAAAATTGATTGATTAGATTTTCTAAAAAAATGTTTTGAGGGTCCAAACTGTTGAGAAAACTCTAAATACCTTGCTTTAAATTTTTCCAACAAAAATATTTAGAAAAACGTGTATTTTTGTAAATTGAACAAGAACGGTCTGACCTTGTTCTGACTGTCGATTTGTAAAACTATTTTTGTTCCTGAATAAATTCGATAAAATATTGAATATCTCTGTGTGTTCCGTTTAAAAGGCAAATGTATAAGGTGAAAATCTTTCCAAGAGAAAGTAGGAATACACATTACTCCCAAGATATAAGAGTTAAAAAAAAAACTTTTTTTAAAGTCCAAATTTAAGTTTTTAAATAGTTTATTTCTTGAGGATTCTAATAATCGTGGATTTTATCAAAAATATTTGTTGCATTTATTTTTTTTTACTTTTGTAAAAATCCACACTTAGTTATACCCTCAGCCACATGGCTAGAGAGGGTATATATCATTAGATACGACCAAAACGTGACTGATCGAAATAACGATTTTAGACCCTATGTCTTGGAGCAAATCCGTTTCAGGACATTTGGAGTCGATCTGGCGATAACGAGCACGATAACTCTCGAAGGGAGTATCCGATTTGGTCCAAACTTGGTACATCCTAATATTATTGTCAAACTTAGATCGAGTTAGGAGATCGGCAATATCGGTCCACTCCTTCTGGTACCTCCCCCACAAAATGTCAAAATTTTCAAAGAAAATAATTTATTGCACAGAAAAAGAAAGGATAATCCGATTTTGCTCCAACTTTGCAAATCCTAATATTTGCACCAGTTCTACGTCAGGTGCGAAAATGGACGATATCGGTTCACTCCATTAAGTACCTTCCCCACAAAGGGTCAAAATTTTGAAAAATTATAACTCCTATAAAATGTGATGTAAGAGTCCGATTGTCTTCAAATTTCACAATTCACAATCTTTTTTTTAACCCAAGTTCTGGTGTGAAGTTGAAATACATTGGTCCACTCCTTCTGGTACCTCTCCCACAAAATGTAAAATTTCCCCCACAAAGGGTCAATATTTTGAATATTCATGAAGCTCATAAAATACGAAATTTACATCCGATTCCATTCAGACTTGACACATCCCAATATTTCCCTCAACACAAGATCTGTTATAAATATGGTAGAGATCGGACCATTCCTTCTGGTATCTCCACCACAAAAGTTCGAAGTTTTGAATAACCAAAACGATTGTAAAATCCGAAATAAGAATCCGGTTCACTTTAAATTACACCAATCACATTAATTTTATTAGGCCAAGGCCTGGCGTGAAGATGGTACGGATAGGTCCACTCCTTCTGGTACCTTCCCTACAAAGGGTCAAAATTTTTAATATTCATGAAGCTCATAAAACACGAACCCTACATCCGATTCCATTCAGACTTGGCACATCCCAATATTTCCATCAACACAAGATCTGTTCTAAAGATGGTATAGATCGGACCACTCCATCTGGTATCTGCCCCACAATGGGTCAACATTTTGAATACCAAAACTATCATAAAATCCGAAATAAGCATACGGTTCTCTTCAAATTACACACATCACATTATTTTTATTATCCCAAGGTCTGGTGTGAAGATGGGATATATCGGTCAACTCCTTCTGGTACCTCTCCCACAAAGGGTCAACATTTTGAATATCCATGAAGCTCATAAAAAACGAAATTTGCATCCGATTCCATTCAGACTTGGCACATCTCAATATTTCCATCAACACAAGATCGGTTATAAAGATGCTACAGATCGGACCATTTCTTCCGTTACCTCCCCCACAAAGGTTCGAAGTTTTGAATAACCAAAACGATCATAAAATCCAAAATAAGCATCCAACTCTCTTCAAATTACACACATCACAATTTTTTTATTACTCCAAAAACTGGTGTAAATATGGAATGTATCGGCCCACTCCTTCTGGTACCTCCCCCACAAAGGGCCGAAGCTTTGAATAACCAAAACGATCATAAAATCCGAAATAAGCATACGGTTCTCTTCAAATTACACACATCACATTATTTTTATTATCCCAAGGTCTGGTGTGAAGATGGGATATATCGGTCAACTCCTTCTGGTACCTCTCCCACAAAGGGTTAAACATTTTGAATATTCATGAAGCTCATTAAACACGAACCCTACATCCGATTCCATTCAGACTTGGCACATCTCAATACTTCCATCAAGACAAGATCTGTTATAAAGATGGTAGAGATCGGACCATTTCTTCCGGTGCCTCCCCCACAAAGGGTTAAAATTTTGAATAACCAAAACGATCATAAAATCCGAAATAAGCATCCAACTCTCTTCATATTACACACATCACAATATTTTTATTAAAATTGGTTGAGGGCATACACTTTTTTAGATTTTTTTTAATAATATACTTTGTTGTTTTTTTAATATCTTTGGTGTGTCATATAATTATGGATTTTATAAAAAATATTTGTCTTAATTTTTTTTTGCATAAATTTCCTCCCAGAAAAAAACATAAAAGCTTTCTGCCAAGCTTCTCAAAGTGTCTGCCAAAATAGCTGTGAACCTGATTTGTTTTTTTTTCGTTCTTTCCAGACTGGAAAATTTTCAAATTTGTTGTTATAATTTTTAATAATTTTATTCCATACAATAAAAAAGTAGGCAGACTTTTTTTCACATTGCCTTTTGCCATAAACTTTATAAATAACTTACAGCATAGGCAAGTAACATTGTAGTTGTTGTTATTATTCTTGTTCTTAGAAATCTTATCTTAGTCTGAAAGCAAAAAAAAAAATGATTTTACAAAGATATTAACCCAAAGCGTATTTAGAGTAAAAAAATGTCTTAGATAATATTGTTCGCGCGCTCTCCCATTGTTTTTCTTTCTCTTTTTGTAAACAGGAAAATAATTTATGAAAATAAAAGCGAAACCCTAGTTGGGAAATTATTTATGTGATACTATGACGATGTTATAACACGTGTTAACAAATAACAATTTAATTGCTCCCGGAGGTGTGAAAGGGGGAATTTTTCTGAAATAAATGCAATGAATATAAATATTTGCAATATTGAATGAAACAGAAATTCCCAAACGAGGAATTGAAAGAAAAAATAATTTAAAATTATTCAATTTTTTGTTATGGAAAATAATGGCAGATGACTAAGGGTATTATGCATTGTGTGATTTGCAACTGATATTAACAATTATGAATTGTTTAAGGAAAATTAAAAATAAATCAAAATAATGGAAAATTTTCAATAATAGCTGCTATAACTCTTGATAATATGGCGATTGCATATCAACTAATCTAATTTATGACTCCCTAAAATATAAACAGTGGATATTGGAAATAATACATAAATATAATTTTGTGTTGCATACTTTGGGGATGAGGATGGGTTAGTAAAAATCCCATGTTTAAGGAAGGCTGGAGCATGGAACAATAAAAAGGTAAGGTAGTGCTACCAGCTGATTACAATTTTTTTCTAAGTGTGCCCGACTTCTGCCAATTTTTTTATTATTTATTGTTTTGAAAAATATAAATAATATTTTAATATAATTTTATTTTAATATAATTAATATAATATTTTCAAAATAATTGATTGGAAGACACGTAAATTGCGAGACGCGCATTAAAGCTATTCGCCAGTTTTGCCATAGAATTGAAAGATAGAACTGTTTAGATCATATTTTTGAAAGAAAATCCAGGCATTAGATTCATTTTTTTTTGTTTAACTGATCTTAAAACATGAGGAAAAATATTGAATAAATGAAATCAACTTGTGGCATGCAAATTTGACAGGAACCGAGCATAGACTCTGGGATGTATTTTTGTAGTTTTACGAAGCTGCTCTACCTCCTTATTGTACCATGGGCTGGAGTTATTTCATCACATTTGTGTGCTGTTTATGAGACATTGTCATCCCTTTATTATTATTTTTCTCCCAATAAGAAGAAGAACAAACAATGACGACTGATAGCCTATGCTTCTTCTTTTTCCATCATTTGTTTAATTGTTGTGAAACATAACAACTTTTGCCGGCTGTGAAATAAGAAAAGGAATTAGCAATTAGAATAAACAAAGTTGAAAATCGATAAAATTGCAAAATAGAAATATGAGTAAATGAAATTATAAAACATTTGTAAAGAAATGGTCAATTTGATGCAGAAACCGCGAGGAGGCCGAAAACATTTGGTGTTGGATGTTGAGATTCTAATTTTGTGGAGCCTGTAGAATTGTTGTAGACAAAATGCATTTTGAGCAAATGGTTCGTGTCTACAATAGATATAGTAACAGCTCATGACAAAGGCATGTTACTATTAGAACCTCAATTGCAGAAACGAATGACAAACAAAAGTTTGAAAAAATCCAAAAATGTGATCTGAAAATTCTTTTCCACATACCTCTCCAAAATTTTAGTGGTTTAAATCATATAACATTGGAGGTATTTTCAAATATGGCAATTTTAACTCTGCTTTGTCCTATCTTAATACTTCTGTGTCTTTAAGCTTGGGTTATTTCATCAAATTAATCTACTATTTATGAGACATTGTCATCACTATGTCCGTGAGCTTAATGTTTCTCCCAATAAGAAGAAGCACAAACAATGACGACTGATAGCCCATGTGCTTCTTCTTTTTTCTTTATTTGCTTAATTGTTGTAAAACATAAACACTTTCGCCGGCTGTGAAAAAAGGAAACGAATTTGC